TGCAATGTTCTACGTGAAAAAATCCATTTTAGATTGCAACAAAGCTGTAGAAATCTCAATTATATATATATATATATATATATAATATCTCACATAATGGCCTGTTATCTATCAGCACTGAAGTTTTCAGGCTTCTGAACTGATGTGTTTTATTCGTTTGCAGCTTTACTGTGTTTCTAAACGGAGATAAAAACTCATCTTACATTACTCTGCACATGATGTGAGTATAAATACACTTTTACTCCAGTAATATTGAGAGATTTGCTTTGTAAGAAATTACTCCTCACTGATGTGATGTTTTTATGTTTTTAAAAGGAATTGATCACTCAAAAAAAAAAGCTGAAAAAATTTACTCACCCTTCAGGTCACTCTTCATCAGAACTGATTTGGAGAAATGTAGCATTACATCACTTGCTCAGCAATGGATCCTCTGCAGTGAATGGGTGCCGTCAGAATGAGAGTCCAAACAGCTGATAAAAACATCACAATAATCCTCAAGTAATCCACACCACTCCAGTCCATAAGTTAACGTCTTGTGAAGTGAAAAGCTGTGTGTTTGTAAGAAACAATACATCATTAAGACGTTTTTAACTTTACACCGTTACTACTAGCCAAAATTCGAGTCCATAATAACACTTCTTCCTCGCTGCCACTTCCACATTCTGACGGCACCCATTCACTGCAGAGGATCCATTGGTGAGCAAGTGATGCTAAATTTCTCCAAACTTGTTCTGATAAGGAAACAAACTCATCTACATCTAAGATGATGTAGGGTGAGTAAATTTTCATAAAATTTTCAGGTTGGGATGAATTATTCCTTTAAATTGTTTTGCAGTGTGTCATATTTCAGTATTTCATCAATGGATGTCCTCAGACACATCCACAGATGTCTGGGATAATCCCGAATATCCTCTGACCCTAGAATCACCCCTGATACACTTCTGACTCATCCAGATCTCTTGTTGTCCTTTAAGCTCCTCTGAGGAGGTGTGGGTGTGGCAGTGTGGAGCCACCAGGGGGCGACTCTGTCCAAATCACCCAGAAGCTTCTTTCTCACTAGAGAAGAGCATTTATACAGCGGTGAGATTATTGGCCCCAGTTTATATGGTGTTGCACCTGCAGTAACTGAGAATGTCACTCTATAAATATGCTTCGGTTGTCACATGCAAACCTCTTTTTTGACAGGGGACCAGCCACCTGTGGTCACTTCCTGTTATGCCTTTTCAAGAGGTCACCTACCATTTCAGAGTGTCACATTCAGTGAGTGAACTTCACACATGATGGTTCATCTCTTGCTCTTTCAGTGTGTCCCAACCAAACACAACCAGAAATTAATTCTTTGAACTGCTTGATTCACATGAACTGTGCAAAAGAATCAGTTCACAAAAATGAATCAGACTTCCCAGTTCTGAAAAAGATCTGTCATGCGTTTTTATTGTGCATGGTTAAGACTGTTTCAGTGTGATGGGTAAGTTAACCATTTAACCTTTTTGTTTACAGAGTCAAACGGGATGTAAGAGTGAAGACGACGTCGTGTCCTCACGGTGCTCTGAGTACAGTTTCCTCATTCAAACCACATGCTAAGCAGTGTCAAGATTCATGCTATTTAGCTTCGACTTCTCCTGTGTCCACTCGTATCGCCGCCCCAGATTCAAAGACTGTTTTATCTGGCTGAGCTGATAAAGACGTCTTAATTGTGTTTGTTCTGCGCATATTTTTCAAAGTGAAAGGAAAATGAGCATATTTCAAAAAAAGAATCACTTAGCCTTGACCTTGATTATATATTACTGCTTATATACGCTCTTGCACACATACACACACATATATTTACTTATTAAAATGTCTTTTGATTTGCCAAGATATAATATAAACAGGACCTTATTTACATTCTTAAAACAGGTTTTTGTGCATGATTCATCAGTGCAGATTATTCCACAGAAATCAGTGCACATTATTTGCATTTCCTTTAAATGTCATTAAACTGGATTTGTTAACATGTCAACAGTTTAATGAATTTTAAAACAATATTTCACCCAAAAATTAAAATTTGCTGAAAATGTACGCACTCTCAGGCCATTCAAGATGTAGATGAGTTTGTTTCTTCATCAGATTTGGAGAAATGTAGCATTACATCACTTGCTCAGCAATGGATCCTCTGCAGTGAATGGGTGCCGTCAGAATGAGCGTCCAAACAGCTGATAAAAACATCACAATAATCCACAAGTAATCCACACCACTCCAGTCCATCAGTTAACATCTTGTGAAGAGAAAAGCTGTGTTTGTCAGAAACAAATCCATCATAAAGGCATTTTTAACTTCAAACCGTTGCTTCCAGCTAAAATACGAGTCCATAATCCATAATATCGCTTTCTCCGGTGAAAAAGTCGTCTCGTCTGAATCAGGGGCGAAATATGCACAGATCAAACACCATTTACCAGTCCAAAGCAGCTCTAAACAAATATATTGATGGATTTTGATGTGAGAGGACAACAGAGGATGGGCTTTTTCACTGGAGGAAGCACCATTATGAATTATGGACTAATATTTTAGTCAGAAGTAACGGTTTAAAGTTAAAATGTCTTGATGGATTTGTTTCTTACAAACATGCAGCTTTTGGCTTCAAAAAGTGGTGTGGATTACTTGTGGATTATTGTGATGTTTTTATCAGCTGTTTGGACTCTCATTCTGATAGTTAATGCTATAAATTTCTCCAAATCTGCTTCTTGCTTAGCTAGCTTCCGCGTTCTTATGTCAGTTTTAAACAGCTGTCTTTATAATAGACTATCTGTATTTTTTTTTCTTGACCACTGACTATTTATACACTGGAAATGGCTTTAACTGCACCAGCTCATTATTAATGATATGCAAATCAGGTTGTTTACCTCATGTTTTGTTAAACTTCCCATAACTGCTGTCAAACACTATGGAGGGTTTTAGCTATAATAAACAGGCAGGGTCTCTACGGTTCTGCTGTCACGTCCACTGGAGAGAAACAGTTACGATACAGGTATAAAGTAAGCAGTGTAGAAAGTATAGTATGAATAGTTACTGAGGTAAAGATATCAGCTCATCTCAAGAAAGAAAGAAACGAGGAACCATAAATAAAAGCAACTACTGGATTTGTCCAAGTTGGTCACTGGATTTCTTTTAAAAACTGGATAGACTTCACACTGGAACACTGGCAAAAACACTGGATCATTATCGCCATTTTAAACACCTGTCAGGAAACACTTCATATTGAGTTTTACTATGGTACTTTTGTTACTTTGTCACTTATTTCTTTCCCTTTCCATCTTTTACACTGTATATTATTTCATTTGTTAATGCATTGTTCTAACTTTAGTATGCTGCTATACGCATACTATACTTTATATTTGCCGTAACCAGTGATTGTGTTCAAAATAAATCTTTTGAGCAGCATATATGCAGTATATTCTTGTAAAGCTTAATCTGAACATTATATGTCTAAACAGTTGAAACATCACTTTTGATCAGAGAATTTGTCAGACAATGTCCAAAATTTTCAGTGTTACTAAACAAACTTTGTCTTTAAAATGCCCCTCCCCCTTTTTATTTTGTTTTTCAAGAAGAAAAATGAGCAGATATATTGTGTCTTTCATGTAATCCAGCACTATGTAAATTTCAACACCATAGAGTAGTTTTGTCTCTGTTTGTTTCTTATCCTTGTACACGTAACATTTTGATGTTCTAGATATTGTTTGAATATTTTAAAGTAATAACACTCTTAAAAATAAAGGTGCTTAAAAGGTTCTTCACAGCGATGCCATAGAAGAACCATTTTTGGTTCCACATTCAGTCAAAGGTTCTTTAAAGAACCATCTCTTTCTTACCTTTTTATAATCTGTCTAGTATGCCTATAAGAGCTTGATTAGCTGGTTCAGGTGTGTTTAATTGGGGTTGGAGCTAAACTCTTCAGGACACCGGCCCTCCAGGACCAAGTTTGGGCACCCCTGTTCTATGGCATCGTGAAGCACCTTTATTTTTAAGAGTGAAGGAAAGCCATAATGTAGTCTTTGTAAGGCTGGGTGATGTGTGAAATCATGAAGAGAACCAACAAAGTGTTGTCTGAAAATGTTGTGCACTAAAATTACAATTTCCATAATGCCATACTAATGCATGATACTGATTCTGAATATAAAACATTTGGGATGATCTTTTGAAATCTAATATATGGTTATTTTTACAAAATCACTGGGAATATCACATATTCTGTCATGAATAAACCAGCCTGTTGCGGAAGCACTTCCAAACTATGCACTGTAAATATCTTTTTCTAATGTTTCTGTGACATCTAAAACTGATTAAATACTCTGTAAAATATCAAATGTCTTTTAAATGTTCTTGTGAGAATTCTGTTTGGTTTTTATTATGTTATAACTCACATCTTTCATTATGTACAACAATATCTTTTATTTCTGTTCTTTTTACTCGTCATTAAATTAGTTTTTATAATATCATTTTACTACATTTATGATTTGTTAGTTATCTGTTAATCATGATTGATTAAAAACATTACATTTTTTATTTGTAACATTTTTAAATAACTTGTTTTAAGTGTGGGTGAAACATTCCCTGTTTATCAATGACTGTGGTATAAAATTAGAAAAAACTGACTATACCACCAAAGGACAAAAAAAAAAAGGTTTTTCTCAGTTGTCTGTCTTGTGTTTATCTTTATGGCTTAAAGCCCAGTAAGAACTAAAATATTAAAAACTGTTGATTCACTATTGTGTTTGTTACATTTTCTCATTTTCATTGCTTTGTCTGAGCTTTCTGAAAGCCTCTGTTGTATATTGATGCATACTCGTTATTTTTAGTTAATCTGCATAATTTGTCTCACTTTTTTTGACATGTATGTGTACTGATGTCATAATAAAAATGCATGCAAGCATGATGCATAAATTAAATAAATATTTTTCTGGATACTAAATTTAAATTCTTCCTTGTGTGACAGCTATAATGAAAATCTATCTATGGAGCGTTGGGACTTTTATTTTGTATTGTGCTGTCAGTCACTCCTTTTCCGGTCACTTCACTTACGTGGCTGTTCTTGCTCTTCTTCCGGTCGGACAGATTCTGCCTTTACCTGTCACGCGATGGTAAATTACGCATGGTTTTACAGCTAATTATTATATTTCTTAAACGTCAGAGAGTCCAGAAATGAATTGAAACTGTAAATAACGCGTCTGGTATTTTATTTAATCGCTCGTCTTGTTAAATTGCAGCAGTTGGTAGCTTTAGCTGTTAGCTAAAGTCAGGAGTCTGTGATCTGCTGAAGCTTTTTTTGCACTACAGACAGATAATGACGCTATTCAAAGTACAATATGCATATTTAGTCATAAATATGTATGTGTATAAGCTTCATGTGAACTTGTAATATATGTTATGCAGCGAGAAGTTTGCACTATTCATTTAGTAAGTGTCAGGTTCACATTTGGACCACAAAACCAGTCATAAAAGTTTTTTTTGAGTTTAATTGAGAAGTTAGGATAGGACGATATTTGGCTGAGATACAACTGTTTGAAAATCTGGAATCTGAGGGTGAAAAAAAATCTAAATATTGAGAAAATCAGCTTTAAAATTGTCCAAATGAAGTTCTTAGCAATGCATATTACTAATCAAAAATTAAGTTTTAATATATTTACAGTAGGAAATTTACAAAATATCTAAATGGAACATAGTCTTTACTTAATATCCTGATGATTTTTAAAACATACAGTGTATTGTTGGCTATTGCTACAAATATACCCGTGCTGCTTATGACTGGTTTTGTGCTCCAGGGTCACGTTTGTGTATTTTATATATCTATCAGCTATTCTGTTAAAGTTTAATCCACGTTTCTGTTCAGATTCAGAATGTTTCTGTTTAAATATGATGTCTTTTTAATCTGCACTGGAAAACTAATGTCCGTTCAGCTGATGTGGACATTATACTTTTATACTCCTGTTCTTTCCAGCCTCTTTATGTACTGCTTATTCTAGTTTATTCCGTTTTTTTGGTTTTAGTATGAAGTTGAACATCTTCAGATGTCAGAAGTCATGTGTAAGTGACTGATTGTCTGTGCAGGAGTTGGAAGCCATGACGAGATACACCAGTCCGGTGAACCCGGCCGTGTTTCCTCACCTCACTGTAGTGCTGCTGGCCATCGGCATGTTCTTCACCGCCTGGTTCTTTGTGTATCCTTCACTATTCACAGATTTGTATTTTGTAATCCGAAAGGTGCTTGTAAAGTTTAGCCTGAACAGATGTTTGTATATTTGCATCCTTGACTCTCTCTCAGATACGAAGTAACATCCACGAAGTACACGCGAGATCTGTACAAAGAGCTGCTGATTTCTCTGGTGGCGTCGCTCTTCATGGGCTTCGGCGTTCTGTTCCTCTTACTGTGGGTCGGCATTTATGTCTGAAAGTGAGTGTCTTTACGCTCTTCAGCTGTGTTATAACACTTCATTTTTTATGAGATAAAAAAAAGGTAATTACAACATTTTCATCTCACAACTTAGACTTTTTTCTCGCAATTCTGAGTTTATATCTTAACAGTTCGGAATTGAGAGATATAAACTCGCAATTCTGAGAAGAATGGTCAGAATTGTGAGATAAAAGTGCTGCAATTACCTTTTTTTATTTTTTATTCCATGTCAGAAACTAAACAAGAAAAAATTGTTAGATGAAAACAGAATTCTAAGGAAAAAACCCTCAAAATTGCAAAAAAAAAAACAAATCACAATTATGGACTTCCAAATATTACCGGTTTGGTTAATATTTTGAATCAGTTTTTATTTTAATTTTAATTAAAGTGTTCAATTTTTGTTTATTTTAGTAAATAAAGTTAAACGTTATAAAAATGAGCAATGTTGCCTAGGAATAAAATAAGTTTTTTAGTATTTTATTTCAGTTAAAGTTTATTTGAAGCAACAAAAGTTTTTTTTATTTTTAATTTTTTTATGTTTTTTAGTTTATTTTAATATAAAAAAATTATCACAATTACCTTTTTATTTTTTATTCCACAGTGGAAACAGGCTTCTAAATATTACAGTTTTTATTCATATTTTGAATTAGTTCTTTTTTTAAATTTAATTTTAGTTAAAGATTTAATAATTTTGTGTTTTGTGATTTTTATTATTTCTAAATGTCTATGATTTTCATTCATTATTATTTCAGTTTTAGTTTATTTAAATACATCAATTTCAATGAAAAATATAGCTGCAAGCAGTGATATGGGCTGTAGCGCAGTGCAGAGCGGGAAGATCAAAAACAGCAGAAACTGAATGAACGAAAAAAAACAGCTGGTTCAGAAGTATAGGTGAGAATGAAATGAAAATTCAGTTCAAATGAAAATGGATAAAAACATGTATTTCTAATCCAGGAGAAATAAAGATTTGTATAATGCTGATCTGGATAATAAACAAATCAAAACAGCACAACATAACACAATTTTATAAAGTTGCGCCACGCGAGACTCGAACCCACAACATGAAATGTTTCGGGGCCAGTGGCTTAGCAGAGTGTGCCACTCAGTTGAGACACAATCAACAGACTGCAGAAGAGAAGTTTATTTTATTCATATTTTGAATTAGTTCTTTTTTTAAATTTAATTTTAGTTAAAGATTTAATAATTTTATGTTTTGTGATTTTTATTGTTTCTAAATGTCTATGATTTTCATTTATTTTTATTTCAGTTTTAGTTTATTTAAATACATCAATTTCAATGAAAAATATAGCTGCAAGCAGTGATATGGGCTGTAGCGCAGTGCAGAGCGGGAAGATCAAAAACAGCAGAAACTGAATGAACGAAAAAAAACAGCTGGTTCAGAAGTATAGGTGAGAATGAAATGAAAACTCAGTTCAAATGAAAATGGATAAAAACATGTATTTCTAATCCAGGAGAAATAAAGATTTGTATAATGCTGATCTGGATAATAAACAAATCAAAACAGCACAACATAACACAATTTTATAAAGTTGCGAGACTCGAACCCACAACATGAAATGTTTCGGGGCCAGTGGCTTAGCAGAGTGCACCACTCAGTTGAGACACAATCAACAGACTGCAGAAGAGAAGTTTAGGTGTGAGAATGAGCTCACAAAAGCATGACTTAGCATTTTAGACAGATTAGCATGCTAAGCTAACTTAATACTAACGTAGTTTACGGTTAACCTGATAGTTGAAGAGTCACATTAGAACGAATGGCAACCAGTTAGCATGCTAAGCTAACTAGCATAAATCAACCAGCACAGGCACGGCCTATTTGGAGAGGTATTTCTCGGGAATGGTTGTGAATATCAAAAATCTGTTCAGTCATTTCTGTGCGGCTCGTTCCAAAGATCATCTGATCAGATTTTGGACAAAATTGGGCAAAAATTGTAGGAGGAGTAGCGAAAAAACTGTTTTTCATTTACTTCAATATGGCGGACAGGCACATTGATGAAAAATTACATATCGTCAGAATTGGTATAACCCAGGGAATGAAAGGATGCAAAAATAACAAAATTTGGACAATGTTTTCAAAAGTTATAAGCACTTTTGCAAAAATGTTATATCTCTGGAACACTAGGTGGCGGGGTGTTCAAACTTCTCAGGTACCTCCGGGACATGGTGTCGATCAGTGCTGATCCTAGACTTCTGGGGGCCCTATGCAAAATTGTGTCCGGGGGGCGGGATGAAACGATGAACGAATGAATGAAACTCATTTGTCCGTGTATCAATAAGCACTTTTGCAAAAATGTTATATCTCTGGAACACTAGGTGGCGGGGTGTTCAAACTTCTCAGGTACCTCCGGGACATGGTGTCGATCAGTGCTGATCCTAGACTTCTGGGGGCCCTATGCAAAATTGTGTCCGGGGGCGGGATGAAACGATGAACGAATGAATGAAACTCATTTGTCTGTGTATCACTCCGTCTCGAATCGCGTTCGCGGAAAGCGCTTGAGAAACAGTGTCTCTTCCGCGGCTCGGTACGCTTTCAACTCGTTTTTTAGTCTCGAGCAAGACTTTGCGACATTCACATTACATGATGTCAAAATGCTATTGGTTATGGTGTGATTTCAACTCGTTTTATTTAGTCTCGAACAAGACTGTATGACATTCACATTACATGATTTGACTGATTTTTACGTAGAAAGGGCGACAGCGCACCGCATTAAAAGAAATGATCATTCATGTTTTCATAACCGCTGGCCAAATTCAAAAACGAAATTTTTGAGAGCAAGGGGGCCCCCTGGTGTTTCGGGGGCCCTACGCAGCTTGCGTATTTTGCGTATACGGAGGATCGGCTCTGGTTTCGATGATCCCTACCGATTTTTGTGCAGATATATCAAATGGTTTAAAATATATTGCAATTTATGACATATTTCAAAATGGCGGACATATGGTTCAGCCGATCCTGGCAAAATTGATATCCACAGATTCGGCATGATCCAAGGAATCCATAGACATAGATCCATAGACACCATGATTTTCTGACTAACTGATCAAAAGTGATCAGCAAAAATAGCCATTTTTCATATCTTATGATCCATAGGTGGCGCTCTTCCCAAATTTGGCATGGACCCTCAGATCATGGTGTTGATGAAGCATACCAAGTTTTGTTTCGATTGACCAAATTTTGGCTGAGATACAGCCTCTGAACCAATTACGGGTCAACCTCGTTAAGTTCACAATGTCATAACTTTTGAACAAAGATGAATTAAAAAAATCTGTTCAGTCATTTTAATAACAAAATGTGTTTGGTGAAGAGTTTTTGGCTCAAGGTCTGCATTTAAAGTCACACCAGAAGTGTTCAGCTAGGTTTCTGCAGAGCAGTCAAGTTCTTCCACACTGACTCAATCAATCATTTCTTTTTGAACCTTGCCTTATACACAGAGGCATTGTCGTGTTAGAATAGAAAAGGGTCCTGTCCGAACTCTTGTTTTAATTTAGAAGCACACAATTCATTCAGAATATCACGTTAAGATTTGTACTCATGGAAATTACTAAAGTAGTCAAACCTGTTCATTAGAAGGCAATAGTGTATATTATCCTTAAAATTACAGTATTTACAGTCCCTGAATTTTCCATGAAATATATTTATGACATCTGTTGTATTTGTGTTCATCAGGTTGTAGAAATGACATGTAGCCAAGGCTACAGGAAAACATTCCAAGGTGATCGGAACATTTTTTCCGAGACTTCAAAAGCACTGGGATTTTGGATGGAGTTTGCACGGGCATGATGGGCAGAATTGTGGGTTAATATTTCACGAATAAAAAATTTGTTAAAAAAATCCAAAATGATTCCTGGTTTTCATTTGATGTGTCCACTGTTAGAGATGTTTTCATTCTTGAGGATTATTTTCCTTATTTAAATCTCTATATTTAGACATTTTCATGTGTTTTAACTTCCTTTGTAAGTCACTCTGTATAAAAGTATCTGCTAAATAAATGTATATTTCATTCACATTAAAATTATTCCATTCCATTTAATCCTAAACAATAGAATATTATATAATTAAAATACTATTATTATAATTAATAGCAATCATAGAAAAATATTATACAATCAGTCAGTCATTATTTTTCCCACAGCACTATGTCAAGCAGAGCTTCACCAACAGTGCTTCATCTGATTATTAGTAATTAATTTGTTTCTTACAAACACAGCTTTTTTTCTTTACAAGACATTACCTGCTGGACTGGAGTGGTGTGGATTATTGTGATGTTTTTATCAGCTGTTTGGACTCTCATTCTGACGGCACCCATTCACTGCAGAGGATCCATTGCTGAGCAAGTGATGTAATGCTACATTTCTCCAAATCTGATGAAGAAACAAACTCATCTACATCTTGAATGACCCGAGGGTAAGTGCATTTTAAAATGTACATTTTTGGGTGAACTATTTCTTTAATTGGTGTTTTGTACGGTTTCCTGTTAATGTCAGTATGTTCCTACGTTCATCCTCACACGATGTGAGGAGCGAGTTGGCTGGGTATTTGAAAACATAGCATGCTATTTGTGTCCTGCGGGCTGTTTGTGGAGCGTAAAACCCCAATCCAAGCTTAATCTGACTGATCAGAATAGAACAGTCTGTCAGCGTGGAGGAGATCGTCGTCTGTCTCAGAGATAAAGCGGCTACAGACGTGCAATGAAAATGGAAAGAAACCGTTCACCCAAAAAATAGTTAATCAGATCAGATTTGGGGAAATGTAATATTACATCACTTGCTCAGCAATGGATGCTCTGCAGTGAATGGGTGCCGTCAGAATGAGAGTCCAAACAGCTGATAAAAACATCACAGTAATCCACAAGTAATCCACACCACTCCAGTCCATCAGTTATCATTTTATGAAGCGAAAAGATGCATGTTTGTAAGAAACAAATCCATCTTTGAGGCCTTTAGACCGTTGCTTCTGGACAAAATATGAGTCCATAATAACGCTTCCTCCAGTGATAAAGTCCATCTCCTGTTATCCTCTCACATCAAAATCCACCGACATATTTGTTTAAAAATGTTTAGGACTGTTTTTGCTTAAACAGTCCTAGATTGCGCATACTCTCTTGATTCGGACGAGAAGACATTTTCATTTAAGAAAGCGATATTATGGATCGAGGACTATTTTAGCTGGAAGCTACGGTTTAACGTTAAAACACCCATAATCAGATTTATTTCAAACAAACACGCAGCTCTTCGCTTCACAAGTGTCGTGTGTAGACTTGTGCCGGTATTCGGTAAAGCGATATATCACGGTAATGAATATGCACGATATTGTTATCGTGGGCACTTCTAAATACCGTGAATAATTATATATTACAAATTATTC